CATCTAGAGGACCAACTTTTTTTAGCTTTTCATTTATTTACTTGTACCATTTTTCTATTAAAAATGAATTTTGTGAAGTTATACCTCAAAAAAATGGAAGGGATGCGATATAAAATGTATAACGAGGCTGTGCGTGACCACACAAACATACGTCTTCCATAGGCTAGACCGTCTCATTTCACTGCAGTTTATGCAGCTGACACAATCAGCATACAGCCCATGTAGACTGTGGCCAACGTTGGCCGTAGTCTACATCAGTTGCAACCCATGAACTGAGATACAGCCCGTGTAAACACAACTACTGGTTCAGACATGCAGATGATACCTGGATCAAAATCCAAGCTAAGGAAGTAAAAGTGTTCACTAAACACATCCACTCTGTTGGAACATCAAGTTCATCAGAGGACAATGACAACAAGCTGTCTGTTTTTGGACTGTTTGGTGCACATGGAGGAATGGAAGGATTAACACTGAAGCTTACAGGAAACCATCCCACACACATCACTACGTCCTGTTTGAATCATCACCCACTGGATCACAAACTTCCAAACTATTTACTTAAAACAAGAAAAATCAACTTTAAACAGAGGGGACCTCAGATTTCAGCCTTCTAAAACTTTCATTGGAGCATGTGGCCTATTTCTCTAATTCATAGCTTCATGTCTGTGAGTCAGGCAAACAAAAACCCTAATGACCCTCTGGTGGGAGGAAAGTTAGATTAATCTGCCAGTGTAAAAACCCCCGTCAGTGCCACAGTTTATCAATGTAATAAACTGATGACATTAGTGTGCGACCACCCACTTGTGGAATTAAACAACTAAACATTTATTACAGAGGGAATAACCACGACGATGCACAGCAACTGTGTAGTTAGTTAAATAAAAACAGTTAATCACAAAGAGGATCACTAAAGTTAGTTAGTTCAATATGTTTGACTGTTTTGTGTGTAAAACTGGTACTTAATGCAGAATATCATCTTTAAATGCAACAAACGGAGAAATAATTTCATTAAATCCGGTCACGTCTTTTGCGTGTTTTTCAATAAAGGCATCATCAATGTTTTTTAAATGCGTTATGCTCACATGTCAACGCAGCTGAGATCTGCTCCACACCTCTTTTGGTTCTGCTCTGCCCGTTTCCTTTCTGAACGTTCATATCTGAGTGGGAGGTGTCCGGCTTCAGCTGTAATTTATGAGTGACCACTGGTCTGTGCAGCTACTTAGCAGAGCTATCTCATGAAAGAGACGTATAAGACAGTATCTCATGCAGTTGTAAAAGCTTGGAAGTTCCACACTTTCTAGTTTTGAACTGAGAAAGCTTCCTGGATGAGAAACAAAATGATTTTAACTGCAGAGAAGTCTGTGTTTTTAGCTTTTTAATTTTTTTGTTTGTTTTATTTTTGGATTTAAGCATCTAAAGATTTTGGCTGTTTCGTGCCTCTGTATCTGTTTTATGTTTGTTCTTTTAAGACATTATGGATGTAACTCAACACTTTCTTTGTCCGTAAGGCTACTTATCTTTTTCACAAACTGAAATAGCTCTGCATAGTTTTAAACACGTGAGATTTTCTTGTACATAACTAAATAGTTTTCTTTTTGCCACTTAAAAAACTGTCACCATGCAACATCAACAGTAGTATATAAGCATAATGTCTATAGCGAGAGAAAACAAATAAATTATTTTATCTTAATATTAAGGCTCTCGATGTTGTGGCTCTATACATATTATGTTTTGTAGAAGAGTATTAAAATGTTGTTTTTAGTTGAAAAGTTTGCAGTTTACTGATATATTTACTGATCCTTGTACCAGAAACACTTGAGATCTTTTCTGCACAGTGAATTCCCTGCAGAAGGCTTTGATTCCCACTGTGCATCCTTTAAACATACGTGTGGAAATTAAAAGTGGTTGCCACAACGCACTGAACTCCTCCCCTCTCAGCAAACAGAAACGTACAAGAAACGTGAAAATACATATACGTACAAGATTCCAGGAAAGGTGCAGCTTCTGCACTACTTCTCATGAAGTACCCGTTTGAATCTTGATCTGGTTTAGTGCTTAACAATTTAATGAAAGTGCTCCCAGATAAAGTTTATCAACATATTCTACCTGGGTTAGAAGTTAGGATTTTTGCTCAGTCTTTGATTCTTCCCATCTAAAACAAATGTAAATTTTCAAACTATGTGGAACATAAAAATTGTTGCGGTGCGCTTCCACAGTTCGTTTTTCATTACGTGCCATTTCAGTGCTACATGAAGCTAATGGCATGTCTTCATAAAAGGAAATATTCAGAGGAAATAGAAAACTACGGAAAACACATGCTGGGAGTCCTGGGATTTCTCAAAAGGCAAATGAGCAAAATTCTCACCTAATGAAGGTGGTCAATCCAAACTACCTCCCGACTAAACCAAAATAAAATAAATAAATGGCAAACATCACAGCTCAAAACATAAACAAATAAACGACACGTCAATTAGCATTCAACGCAAAAAACCTCAGGATGAGACTTATTCTTGTGTTTAAAGTAGTGTCTCACTGGGCTGGGATTGTTTGAGAGAAGAAATAGAAATAGTTTGATACAAAATGACCAGAGAGCTGTGGGATCGAGGGTCTTTGCGGGTTCACTTTTTTGAAAGTAACGGCTTCAATCTGCATTCATGAGTTACAAAACTGTATACCAGGTAGGGGTTAAAAAAAACAGATTTACCACAATATAATAATATATTGATTCGTTTGGAGGACAGTTTAATATTTCTCGACATCAAAAAATTTCAATATGATTTTTGATTCAATTCAATTCAAAAGTCTGTGATCGATATGATGCCAATCTAACACAGTCATTGTGCTGGATGTGTGCATCTGATATCAATCCACATTATGATGATGATACGGATAGATTTTTTTCATTTTGCCCTGATGTAATTGAATCTTTACTCATTGGCTGTTCCCTCTGTTGTATTATGAGTTTCTATACAGGATCAAAGTGCAAAAAAAAACCACTTTGTCTTCACAGATCACAGCCTTTCTGTCATTATTCCTGCAATCTCCATATGACACTATTTTCAAGAAAATGTGTTGCTCACTAAATTTGAATTGATTGTTGGTTTTTGTGTTTCTGCCTCGTGCTCTGCACAAAACCAGTTCATTTCTTCAGAACCAGCAAAGAGTCTGTGCTGAGTTAGAACCAATTCTTGGGTACCAGAACCAGAGCCTACGGCAGAGTCTAAAAAGCAGGTTAGCAGTGGTTCCTATTCTGTGCAAAAATTAAAACTACAAGTCTTTGTGACTCACGCAAAGAAGTCGAGATCCGCCCACAAACATTCAGAGACACTTTGAAGACTCGCTCACCAACAGCCACAGCCCAGTGAGGTACGATGACCGGAAACACGTTTTCTCATCACATCCCTGACACAGCTGCGCAGATGAAGTGCTTCACTGTTCCATCTGTAATGCACTATTTAAAGGTTTAACAGCACAATGTGATTCTTTTCATCCAGAATCAAAAGCACTGGATGAATGTGCACTGAAGATAAAGGAGATAATGTCCACAGTCTGCCTCACGTGAAACACTAACTACAGAAACCAGCTGGGCAACATAAACAACTTTCAGTTCCAATCATCTGTAAGTGCAGAGCAGCTGTGAACTCCTGAAGCTTGCCTTTAGAATATTTTAAAGAGGGGAGAACTTGTTCTTGATGGCTTCTGAAATATGGTATCTGTAGGGATGCACAACATTTATGGCAAGCCACCAGTTTCATGTAAAAATGCTCTAAAGTGGACATATCATGATTTAAAATCCTTCTTTTTCACATTTAAATCCTTCAGTTGGGGTCTATGTATAAAGTGTCTATATAACATTAGTAAATAATAAAGTTGAACTGCAATGCTATGGTCTGAATTCCTCCTTATTGTAACTCCACAATCCCCTCTTTCACCCCTTTTCTGAGGTCTGTATCAGATCAACTCGTCTTCGGGCTGTCTCTTTAAATCCAAACGAGACGCTTCACACCCCACATCTCTTCGGGTTCCAGAGAGGTTCATTCTAGTTTGGTGAGGAAGATGGAAAACACCAAATTGTAGTTGGTAAGTCCAGACCTTATTTGGCAGTTCTGTTGCAAATACTGTGATTTAATAGTTCACAAATAACGTAGAAAATAGACAAAAAAAAGGATGGGTTGAAAACTATGACCCAGCCAGAATAAAAAAAATATCTACGTAGCATCGGGAGGAACTAAATTGAACTTTTCTGCACTTCTAGAAACTCCACATACACAATAAAATGTATTTAACAGATAAAAAAGTGGATTTTGCATGATATGTCCCCTTTAACATTAAAGTGCCTGTGACATGCACATTCTTCAAATACAAAAAGTCAAAGAAAACATCTTTAGATTTAAGAAAATTGGAACAATACACACAATTTAAACCATTTTGTCCCATAACTGGCATATTTTCTTTTGAACTTGGATCAGCCAAAGTGAAACAGGAAGTGACATCAAAGGGAAACTCTTTAACAAAGAAAACTCTCTGGTCTTTATTTACTGAAAAAATATTATTTTAACTCTTCTTCATCTCTGATAGTGACTCAATTAATCTTAAGAAACATCAGATTCTTCCCTACAATCTGTTGCTGGCTGTTGTAGCAACACTCTGTTCACATGCAGACATTCCCCTTTGACATCACTTCCTGTTTCTTCACAAGCAAATATCTCAACAACCGTTCATCTCAGCGACATTAAATTTCTTGTGCAATATTTTATAAATGTCCTCTTTCTAAAAATGCATTCATATGTATTACAAAAAATTTGACGTCACAGGCACTTTAAATATTGGCATTAGCCAAGAGGTGCATTTAAGGTCACAATTTTCTGGTTGTGGCTAATTTCAGGATTGTAGCTGGAACATTAGAAATAAAAAACTAAACAGAAAAAGTAGGTGTGCTCAGTACTGATTAAAAATATTGTTCAGTGATAAATATTGTCACGTTTTGAGAGTAAGTTTGCTTTTGTTAAATTGTGTAACTGGGCCGTCACATTATGAATATGACTAAAGAAACTGCTTGATGATCATTTACTCAACATTGTGCATCCCTCGTGTAGAAAACAAGAATGAGTTCAGACTTCACTGCACAGTCTGGTACAGATAACCTCTTTTATAGGCGCTCAGTGGGTAGAAGGTGGCCACAACAAACTTCCCATCGAAGGTTCGGCCCGTCAGCAGGCGCTGGGCTTCCTTGGAGTCGCTGGAGTTGGCGTACTCCACAAACACCTTGTGGAAACAAAATGAACTGAAGATGAAGTGTCTGCATGTATTTATTATTAGTTTTAGTGGTGTGCAGTTGATGCTGGTGCAGCTAAAACACACCGAGGTACATGCATCTCACCTGGCCTTTCCCTGGATTTTCTTTAGGAATAAGCAGAGAAACCACAGAGCCGTACTTCTGACACTCCTCTTTCATGTCCTCCAGGATGTCTAGAAACAACAATCAGACACTTTAAATGTGTTAAAATACACAAGCAGACACGCAAATACACAGTACTTCCATTTACTGACTATATTTTCACTGCAGACACGATGAAAAGTTCTAACACTCCGTGATGGGATGCATTTCACAAAGATTTAAACTAAGGTCATTTTGTGTTGAGAAACGATGGAGTTAAGGCCGTTTTGGTCGATCCTTGAAAATTTCTTCATAGTCAACCTTGTGCTATTGATGAATATGTGATGTGGATGACTCTCAGCTGCTACCTCATCAAACTTTAGCTCAGTATCTGTGAAATTGACCGAGTTTTTCTAAAAGGTACACTACAAAAACATCATCAACAAACAACAACAAAAAACATCTGTTTTACCATCATACTCTTCGTCATTGTGCAAGTGGCTGTCGTCAATCAGGTTGAGCAAACGGAGAACAGGAGAAGGCAGCAGAACCAGATCTTTGACGTGAGGCGCTGTGGCACACGGGTTCAGCAGGGTGAGCACAGAGAAATGACAGCTGTGTGATGTCTGTGAACATCTTACATACTGACACCTACCAAAGGGAATGCTGAAGAATGGACTCAGCAGAGCAGTGTGAGCCGTGCATCTTTGTTTTGGGTCATGGAGAAGCATGCTACGAACACACACACACACACACACACACACACACACACACACACAC